ATTTGCCATAGTACAAGTAAAGATTTTGAAAAAACATTTAAGGATCAAAAGCAGAGCAGGCATGACGTTTTAGCGGCGACGACATGTCACCATTATAAAATGCAATTGAGGAGATATTTCCTTTTCAGTCTTCAACATTTCAGGGAACGGCCATTAGTATTGAGACTGCAGAGAGGTTTTCCGTATTTCCATAAGTCCTCCTTAAATAAAGCTTGAATTATCATACCATGCTTGTACAAAATACTGATCTTTGCCCCATTTTCTCCCAAGATTCTGTATCCTTTTTTCAAATGAAAAAACATAAACTCATGGGTGCTAATACATGTTGAGCATTCTGTGGTCAAGTTGCCGCATCAAGACAATAAACGATCAACAAGTTGAAAATTATCTTCCCTCATTTTTTAACATTCGGCTTTGCCCATCATCGAAGAGGATAATTAACTGCCATCCACAAATATTTGCATTATTTAGAAGCCTCCCACCGACATCTTTTTAATCTGAACGAGTTTGAGAATAACGTTTACAGCAACCACTAAAACACAAGCTCTGATTTTACTTGTTCCCCGTAATTCTTGGATTAACCCCGTGGAAAAAAAAAAAAAAAAAACATTGCAAAACCTGTTCCCAGTCTAAACAAATATTCATCACTTGATAGTTAAATTGATTGAAAGTGGACAGTGGCAGTTTACCTCCTTTCTTTTTCTTATGAAGGGTAGTGGTATTCATCCTCAATAATAACTTTTTAAAAAAAAATCGTCCTTTTATGTAGTCTCCTATAAAACAAGCATAAAATTTTGCCGCAGTTTGACACCAGACAGTAACAAATCTTTGACAATGGAAGACGTACGAAGTGAGATCATCAAACAAATCAGGCAAATGCAACCAGCATCTTTTTGTCAGCCGTCTGAGAAAGTCTGTGTCCCAGGTCCCCCGAGTAAGAAATGGAGCTGAGGTCCCCGAGGAAGGCGAGGACCGCGAAAAGCAAAAGTAAAAACCAAAAAAACACACAAACAAAAATATATAAACAAAAAAAAACAAACTGTCACTGAATTTTTCCACAATTTCATTGTCAGTAGAGTTATTTTAAATCAGACTCAACTCATCTTTTCAAAAAAAAGAATGAGGTATTCATTAACGATTGGTGAGTGATGTCAAAGGAGAATGTGTTTAATAAATTCACTCTATATTTGATCGAGAAATTGGTGAAGCTATATCGAGCAATAGTTTATTTGATTGGCATATACAAATGAATAATTAGAGGAATAAATAGATAATATGATAAATGAATAAAAAACAAAAACTGTGTACTTTGACATATAGGGGAACTCAATATGACAAATCAAGACTGTTTCTCTTTTCATCGACACGATTCAAATATAGCAACGATTTATGGTGATTGCCTGTTA